ATGTGGCGGACTATACCCAATTTCGGTGGTGGGGGAAGTTGGGTCCAGACCGTAGAGGTTTCGAGTGTGGGTCTGGGGCCGCGACGAGGCGTTCCAGAATCTCCCGTGTTCCACGCTCGTTTAACTGACGCGGAAAAGTTTTTCATACGTACGGTTCGCCGGGTGTCTAGCAGAACAGCTGATTGTTTTGAAGCTGTTTACATTCTTAGTTTGGAAATCAAAGAGAAAGACTCACTAAACATGGATTATTTAGGGGATGAAAGAAGAAAACAACTCTCAGAATTAGAGGATTTTATCAAGAAATCAACGGATCAACTGAATTCTGTCCTTGATACTCTTGGTTGGACTCGCGACGTGCTTCTCAGAGAGGTGATGTATTATCGATACCTTAATAGGCTATTGTTAACTCAATTGACGATAGTTTCTGTTATATCTGCCTGCAGTTATTAATGTAGAGCATTTCGTGACATTACATTAGTGTGGTATAAGCCTAACTGACCTATCTCAAACCTGTAGTCCAACCTCAAAATACAGTCAAGTGGTGTGACATGTCTTTCAATTATCTATTCAATTACATGTTCAATTACCTGTCACAGGTACTCAAATATTTAAAAATTATACAATTCCATGTAGTTTTTAAGTAGTTGGGTTCTAGCCTGTATTGTACTATCAGCCTCAACTTCGTTCGACTTGTTTGATTCAATGTTAATATTTTGAAAATTGTTTTTATGTCATATGTTATTTTCATATCTTTGGATCAGGGTGCTGATATGGTACCATGCCCTCTGAATCCCGAACACCGCATGCCACAAAGAAGTTTGAAACGCCACTTAGAAAAATGTTCCCTGCATCAAGAAGGGTATAGATCTGACGAAGAGTTTTTATCAGCTTCTGAATTTTCATCTGGTCCTTCGGTTGTAATAGGTAAAGTTTCAACCCTTGTGACTCATTGTCTATTTATTGTCCTACAACTTTATTCCTTACTAATCATTATCTCACTGTACAGATCAACATAACTTGAATCAAATTTTAAAAAGACCAACTACTATGGCAGATTCTGACGACTTTGGTAAGTTTATCTACTATCATTTCATCGAAGCTGCTCTTTTACCGTATGATTTTCGTAACTATTATGCACACTTTTAAAGTGTTCACTGCTTATATCAGGTACGGAAAGCATCAAGCAGTCCTCTGTTTTGTTCCTTACATATCTTGAAATTATGTGTGTGTGTGCCTGAGAAACACTGCGACTACGTCACTCCGTCACTGCCCCGTGCGGTGGCCAGCCATACTCCTCGCCCTTGTCCGGAACCGTCGCTACTCCCTGTGTCTCATCCGGCCAGATCGGTGTCGGAGGGTGATGGGTGGGTGGGCGTGTTGGTAGCCCGTCCCGATGGCGACAAGTGGCCCCGGCCAGCCACGTGTGCCCCTAGCTGTGGCTGGAGCCCGCCGCAGCCCTCG